AAGTGATTTGAGCCTGTCTATTTGAGGCTCTAATCTATGTGAGTTTGATTATTGGAAATATCACTACAATATATTTTTATTTGCAGATCTACACTATATTGTGCTGTATTTTTTTGTTTCATTTACATGTATCCACATATATCTGAGACTTAACCCTATCTTAGGGTAAGTGTATATATTCAGCGCTACACTCATTCTATTTAGTACAGTCTGGACATTATGTCCAGATTGCACTAAACTCACTTTGGTTCACTTCTATATTTAGTGGGGAAAAGAGAGCACCCAGTAGAGTGTGTAGCTGCTTTCTATCACTCAATTATATCTATAAGCGCACTTTACACAGTAATCACTAATTTTTGTAATATATATATAAACATGTATTATATCTATATATAATATGTACATATATATATACACATATATATATTTAATATATAACGTCATACTAAGTGTATTTTTTTATTAATATATATCTCAAAGTTCCTTGCACTACATGCTTCAAAGGTGTATGTATAGCTTACATGCTGGGTGCTGGATCCAGGTCACAGATATCCAGAGAATTCAAAAGATGGTCCGCATAAAAAATAACTTTTATTCTTACATCAAAGTAAAAGATTATGTGCCAAAGGTCAACGTTTCAGTCCCAGTTCGGGACTTTCATCAGGACAGCATGATATATATATATATATATTGAATACCCTGGGTTGTCTACGTTAAAAAAAATATGTACATGTGAGTTGTGATTCTGAGATTTCTGACAGATAACAGTGTTACAATGTCACCATTGATACATTTTAAAAATATATACTTTGAAACAATATGTCCTACTTGTACTTATAGCCCTATAACTTGCAAAAAAAGCTAAGAACATGTTGACTTTGGGTATTTCTAAACTCAGGACAAAATTTAGAAACTATTTAGCAGAGGTGTTTTTTGGCGGTTGTAGATGCGTGACAGATTTTCGGGGTCAAAGTTAGAAAAAGTGTGTTTTTTTTAATTTCTTCATCAAATTTATAATTATTTTTATAGTAAATTATAGGATATGATGAAAATAATGGTATCTTTAGAAAGACCATTTAAAAAACTCTCACTCCATCTAGAATACCACTGAAACCATTTTAACATTACACTATCACCATGGAAATCGTTCTCTATTTTACAGTCACAAACAGGATATCTAAATAAACACTCAAATACCTCCAAAATTCCCCTGTTAGTAGGTTCAGTCTTTATTTTGGTTTCAGTTTTCTCTGACTCTCCTTTCTAGAAACTCAATATTGTTGATTTGTGTAATTGTATAAAAGAGCTCCTCAGCAATAATACTATGTGACCATAGACAACATAAAACATGCTGCATGCTGCCATCATTGTTTGCACATTCAGATTTCCCAAAATGATTTGCTATGTTCTGGGATTGGAAGAATCACACCAATATGAATAAAATACATTTTATTGCATAGATTAATAGTATCATTAAATAATATTTACAAAAGTTAATCAGGA